CTTATTAGGAAAAAAGCAACAAATTTTTGACAACTTCAATCACACGCTATCAATTTTAAAACCGCGGGAGGTTTGCCATACTTGCGTTTCCTGCATGTTTACCTAATAAATGACGAATTATGACGATTTCAAGCGGTAACAAATCATGACCATTTTAGTGTCATCATCTCCCGGACTATAATACCAGTTTCCAAAATAATAGCAGAGACATGCGAAGTAATATGGACCACCTTGAAAGAAGAAGTTTTCTTGCAACCCAATGAAACTAATTGGCAGACAATCAATGAAGATTTTGACAAACACTGGAACTTTCCACATTGCATTGGAGCAATAAACGGCAAACACATTGTGGGTGGCACCCAGTTGGACACGGCTCAATTGGACACGAGCCACTCACAGCGCTTGAGACTACAAAGCTCCTAAGCACCGGTTGCTGTGATTGGTGGTGTCCAATCGAGCCGTGGTCAATCGAGATCACCCCACACATTGTGATATAGGTAAGAAAATGATATGTCTCTTTAATTATATATATGCAGAACATTTAAAACTTATATTGGCTTCATCTTAGATAACACACAATATTCTTCAAACATTCTAACAATATTATAAGGATATTGTGTTCTGTATGAGATATAATCAATGTACTTTACATCAAAACCTGAATATTCAACGCTAGGATATGAGAGAGAGTGAGTTGCATTGGAAGACTAAAAAATAGAATTCTATAGCGGAAGCAACATTTTCTTACAATTTTAAGAATAAAGTATAATTACACCACAGAGTGTAATTGTGGTGGAATGTATACATCGTTGGCCAAATATGTAAAATAATTATTTTTACTTCTATTCTTTATAATTTCAGGCGCCAGCTAATAGTGGCTCGTGCTTCTATAATTACAAAGGGAACCATAGCATCAATGCCAGCCGTTAGTGACGCTAAGTATCGCTTCATAATTGTAGACATCGGAGCTCTGGGAAGGCAAGATGATTCAGGAGTTCTCACCAACAGCGGGCTAATAAATTTACTGGAAGATAACAAATTAAAAATACCACAGGCTGCACTGCTCAATAACAGTAGCAAAGAATTTTCCTTCGTCTTTGTTGCAGACGAAGCGTTTCCACTCACGACCTATATGATGAGGCCGTACCCTCGAAGTGGAAGTTTGAATATAACAAAGAAAATTTTAATTATAGACTTAGTCGCGCGAGAAGAGTTGTTGAGAGTGCGTTTGGAATATTAGCTGTAGGTTGGAGAATTTTTCATAGGTCGATTATTGCATGTACGTCAACTGTCCAAAAAATTGTCCAAGCTGCAATAGTTTTATTATTACTTCGGAAGAACATCTGCCATTGCGAAAAAGACGCTATGAAATTCTTAGTATTACAGATCATGAGATAATTTCTAGCGGATTAGTGGATATTAATGAAAGAAACAGAAATCGAAATATTGAAGCAATTAGTATGCGGGATGCGTATGCGTCGTACTTCGAAGATGTAAATCCATTATCATGGCAGTGGGATAAAGTACTCGCAAATGATTTTTAGTCTCTATCTAAATTATAAGTTAACTAACTTTACGATTACTATTAGTTGCTTTAGTTTGCATAACAGCTTAATTGAAAGGGTTAGCTAATCAAAAGAAAGTTATTCCCATCGTTTATAAATTATTAAGTGATCTAAAATTATTATGCCACATGTCGGAAACGTACCTAAATGCTTCTTTATGAATAAAATTTAGACATCAATATTGTAAAAGGATCAAGCGAAAACAAATTAAGAAAACAAATTAAGTTATTAGTATTTTAAATAAATTATTAGTATTAGTTATTAGTTTTTTAGTTATTAGTTTTTAATTATTAGTTATTAGTATTTTACTTAAGTTACTAGTATTTTTGAAGAAAACAAATTTAGTTTTAGAGGATGTGATCTTGAAGCGGTATATGTAAGTAATACATTATTAAAATAAATTAATAGAGATGAAGGTGATTTAAAAGAAACATATACGAGTACACGTGTAATTCCGATATGTTTTTGTACGTACAGAAGCGATGTTATCACGATTATCACATAAATATATAAAATAATAAGTGGCTTAAAATTATAAAAGCAAATTAATAAAGAGCATACAGCCACAGCGCCAGTTAGAATTAGCACAAAAATATATTTTATTTTCTATTACGTAAACAACTTTTAACAGATGTTTGTGTAATGCATGTATCTACAAATATGTGCATCTGGCAATCACATAATTAAAATGGATATTATGCAAGTATTAACATATTGACTTTGGTGAACAACGATCTATAAAATTTCATGCTTGTTTGGACTGGAAGTGGCTTCCTACTTTCGACTAGCGTAATTTTATGATAAATGAATTATATATTGTCGGCGAATAATGGGTTCAAACTGGATAATTGACACTTAATAATTTTTATATATGGATTTAATTTAAGATGTATGTACTGAGGATGGTCAGATGGTGACCGAAACGTTTACGTAATAGAAAATAAAATATATTTTTGTGCTAATTCTAACTGGCGCTGTGGCTGTATGCTCTTTATTAATTTGCTTTTATCACATAAATATCTTTAAAAATATATACGTTGAGGCTGTTTCGTGATGTAATATTTGTAAAAATTTGCTATTTTATAATATATTGTGAAAATTAGCTCGGCGTGGATAAAATCAAAGCACCATCCTACGTGCGGAATTCATTACGTATCTATGCTACGGATATATATTTGCATAAATCGGAATGGCTTGCGAAAACAAGTTAAATATAGAAGCGCATCGCTAGTTTTTAGCTTTTGTAGAGTCGAATGTGGAATGCATTTTACATTTTTCAAAGGGATAATACCGTGTAACTTCATCACTGTAATTTGATTGGTCGCAGCGTCGGTTTCAAAGTTGATAATTGATTCGCTCGCGAAAAAACAACCTAGTATTTATTCATATTCGGCATTTTTAAATGTTTTCGACATCGGCAAATAATCGGATAATAATATTAAACAAGTATATTAGAAGAAATAAACAAAAAGTTCGGAAAAATAAAATAAAACGCAAAAATAAAATTATTCCTTTTTTTTTACTTTTTTTTTATTTATATAAAGAGAATATATTTAAACTTTTTAAAAATATTTTTCTTCACACAAAAACACATATTGAAGATTTTTAACTATTCATTTTGGCTCTTCATTTGCTTTAAATTTAATTATGATTTGCGCTAATACCATTTATAAAAATTTTTCGCCGTTTTTAGCCCTTTTTAGCCCGCGCGGACGGTTAATTTGAGTGGTGAAAACGTGCATTTTACTCAGTGAGTATGACTCCGTCTTTAGGTCGCAAACAGGAACTTTTCCGTAAAAAT